GAGGCGCCGGGGGGGCGGGCGCCGCCGCGGGTCCCCCCGAGGCGGGCACGGTGGTGCTCGGAGGCCCTTCGGTAGCAGCTTTTTCCCGAGGGACTCGGCATGCTCTGGCATAGCCTGGTAGAGGGCTTGTTTTGCTTTCCAGCCCCGCTGCGTTTCGGTGCGGTGTTAGTCCTCTCCTGCATGCTCTATCCCGGCTCTATATATAGTTTAAAAAAAAAAAAAAACTGGCTACAGAATTGGATTACTGTCTAGTAACGAGAGAGGCAGAAAGTAAGAGGGGAATGTAGGTGGTAGAGGGCTTGTTTTGCTTTCCAGCCCCGCTGCGTTTCGGTGCGGTGTTAGTCCTCTCCTGCATGCTCTATCCCGGCTCTATATATAGTTTAAAAAAAAAAAAAAAACTGGCTACAGAATTGGATTACTGTCTAGTAACGAGAGAGGCAGAAAGTAAGAGGGGAATGTAGGGGAGAAAATATGTCTCCAGCCGAGATTTAAAAAAAAAAAAAAAGTTGGAAGCGCTCTGGATTAGTTATACTTATTGTGGATACTCTCATTGTCAAAAGTTTCAGCGTGTTCTCTAGTACTGTTACATTAAGATTTTCTTTTGATTAATGTATCAGGAAAATGGTTTTGTTTGGGTTGCTTGGTTTCTTCCATATTAGCTAGACAGATATTACTCCGAAGAGGTGATTTAGAACCCTGCTGTGCATATGTTTTCAAATTACTTTTTAAATCGGGAATGCAAATGACATAGCTGAAGGGGATTGTTTGGAGTGCAAAAAAAAAGCACGTGAGGGTGAATATAACTGGGTTTTTTTCCAATTTTTTGAATTAACATAGAATTTATTTTTAGCCTCCATTCTGAGATCAATCCATAAGATCATTATAAATCATAAAGGACATGTGTATAAGTACCCCATCTAAGAAAAATTTTCCAAGTAACTTTCAAATAGCTGGCCACAAGTTGTGTTTTATTGCTGAAGATTTGTTGATTTCTGTAAGCTCAGCCAGACGACTGCTGATTCTGTTACTGATTGTTGTTTGAGGGTACTTTTTTTTTTAAACAAAGGCCAAAGTTCATCCCAAATATTTGAATGCTGCATAATTGTATGCTTCTGCGTGAGAAGATATCTCTCTGTGTGTGTATTCATGCTTCTCTCTCTCGCAAACAAATGTATGCTTTCTTGGTTGTCAGAATGATTTAATATGCAGTAGCTAATACAAAGCAGCATCTGTTGCATGAGAAAGTGAAGCAAGTAGCTTAGAAATGTGGATATTTGGAACTCCTAAAATTTTCTTCCAACAACTATAGTGTTTTTTAAAGGAAACATAAAGTGTCCTTATCTTTTTGGTGGTGAATGACTGTGGCTAAGATTTTGGCCAGTAATGCAAACAGACCTCTCAGCCTTTGTTAGAGTTACCCTGGCTTCGCCTAGCTGAAGCAGAAATCAAAACCTGTAGAGCTACCACCCAATACAAATGCCTTAAAACCTATATTTTTTTAATTCTTGGTAAGCGATGTGCTTTCCATATAGATAATAACCTATTTAAACCACTTCCCTGAAATACTTAGCATTTCAAAAGAAGACAATGACTTGAGCAGCCTTGCTGATGTGACCTGGGTATTGTGTCTAGCTGATGCTGACCTGTTAGGGAGCAGAGTGTGAAGCCTCCTGGTACTTCTTTTACTAGTAACAAGGTGGTTTAGATAAGGGAGGAAGGTTTTGATATTTTATGATTCAAGGAAGCAGAGAGAAGGGTGGAGTATGATGCTTTAATTCAGAAAAATAATTTTAAAGCTTGAAAATAAGTAACAACACAAGTCATAAATATTATCACCTCCAGAGATTGTCCTGCCTGTTCCTACTGTGCAGAAGTGAATGTCTGTTTCTCCTAGACCTTGCTCTGTTAAAGGAAATCTGTACAGAAATTAAAACATTTCATGTTCACTTATGACACAGAGCCTGGATCCTGCAGATCTTAAACGTTGGTATGGGGGAAGTGTCAGCATATTTTGATGGTAGCTCCTTATGCCTTGGCACTAGTTTTTAAACACAACATTTCATATGTACTCTTATTATTGTTTAGTATGTATATTACAGAGATCCAAATGAGTGTGGTTAGGTTAGTCTGTGCTGGACCCTCTGCAGCAGCATACTGAGAGGTTAGTATCTATATATCAGAGATTGGGGAATGGTGTGGAAATGTAAAACAGCTTGTCTAGAAGTCAGTGGCAAAGTTGGAACTATAACCAGGCCTTGTGACTTTAAGAGCTGTGTCTTCTCCTCTGGACTGCGCTGTTTGTCCTAATGTATCTGTGAATCAGATTATCATGTCACTTGAAATTAGCATTTACAAGACAATTTTAGTGTGGTTTTAGTTTGTTTTTTTGTTTTTTTTTTTTAAATAATTCTACATATGTCCTTTTACTATGGAGTCAAATAAGTATGTTGGGGGGAAAAAGGGGGAAAAAGACATCATTAAGGATTAGATCATGTTGTGCATTGTCCGTAATGCATCAGTAGACTGAATTACAGTGGAGCTATGCCAGTGATGACTTTGGCCCAGCAGGAGTAGGGTAAGTCCAAAATTAGCTATTGTATCCATGAGACGAAGCAAGTTTCAGATGTAAAAGTGCTTGAGCTTTGCAGAAACATTGCTCACGGGAATAAGGGCTACACAGCAAATTCCTGTAGTGATCAGGTGGGATTGGTTTAAGAAAGAACAAGAAAAAAATTAATTTTTGTTGTAGGGCTAAGGAGTTAGAATACCAAATTTATTCCTGCTGTCATTTTTATCTACTTGGAACTGGAAATATACATACTACATTCTATCTCCTGTGGGATTATTAGACAATGAATAGTTTATTTGCTTGTGTATTTGTTCAGCATGTATTACTTTTCCAAGTGCTCCATTTGTAAGATGATGTGACGGACACCTCAGGTCCCAGGTTTTTCTGTTGGAAGGACCTGTGGCAGACAGCAAAAGGCTGGAGAGACTTTCAAGGATTTCAGTGTAATACTCTGCTGGCAGGATTTTTCTTTCTTGTTTTTTCTGCTGGAGCAGGAAGTAATTTCCACCTGAAAAACCTACCAGTCTCAGACCATTTGATTGTTTCTTGTGCTGCAGTTACTGGTGCTCGACAGAATGGCTGGTTTAGAGGACTTTCCTCCCTCCGTTCTCTGGCGCACTGCTGCCAAAGCCCATCCTTCTCCAGAAGGGAGCTGCCTTTAAACCTCTATGCACTAGGCTGATGGGCTTTGGTGTCAGGAGCTGACCTAGTGAATTGTAGCAAGCTGGGTCTGCATAGCAGTAAGACGTTTTTTCATTCTGTATTGGGTGATAAAGTTGAAAACACACATTCTTTTGCCCATTAAAATATGTCCTCTGTAGAAGTTGCGTTAATCTTGAAAGCTCGGCTTTCAGGATGGACATTTTTATCACTTTTCAGACAAGTTTGAGGATAGTGTGCCATTAGCACATACCCCAGCAACAGCCAGGTGTTTGAGTTTGCGGCCTCTCTAATTTGCTCTGTGAGCAAGCTTAGGTCTATTCCAGCTGCTATCAGATTTTTTGAATTTTTGATGGCTCTATTTGCTTCCGAGACCAAAGAGTACGGTAAGCATGGAATCTGATGGCGGCAAAGTCTACAGCTGACATTACTACGTACTTGCAGAACCCTATGGACTTCATCCTTGGGAGAAGAGCAATGAGTTTCTATTTCTATAATACTATTAGTGATCTGAAGAGAGGCCATGCAGTGCACCTGGCAAATTGTCAGCATTTTGCCCTAGAAATAAACTGCGTTAGGCTGAGCTGTGATGAGTGTTTAACTCTTAACCTATATAGGGGTCCAAATTGCAGAAGCCAGGAACATGTGAGGAGCACTTAGTAATTTCTAAAAGCCGTGCAGTATATATAGTCTTGCTGATATGGGATGAGATAGTAAACTCTTTGTTTCAAAAGCTTTAGTGGTACTACATGTATTAAGACGTAAATCTCATGACATTTTGTGATATATTTTCATATGCATATTTTTCTTTTGAACGTGTTACTGTATTTATTTTTTGTATATCACCAGTGGTTTTAGGGGAGCCAGGATTCTTGCATGTAAGGAACACCTTCTTTTAAGTGGTGGTTTTTTTTAATTTAGAAAATAGTTTTGAAGAGAGGTGGGTGTTATTTCTTGTGGAACTCATCTGATAAGGATAGAATGTACCAACTGAAATGGAAACATGACATGCTTTTAAAAGCAGCTGAACAAGGTGTTCCTTAAATGATTTACATTTTGGTGGGGAAAACCAGGGATAATACATGAGTGATTTTAGGAACATCTTGGGTGTGAGCATACCTTCTGTTGTGTTGGTAGTTGACCGCACAATATTTACAAGAATTGACCATGTTCTTAGGATTGCCTTGATACCAGGAAAATATGAAAACTGTAGATATAGTAAGTGGCAGAGGCTGTCTGCAAGACCGTGAAGTATGTTCTTCTTTTGAGTCTGGTGCCCATCTGGTTTCAGTACTAAGCAAAGGGCCAGTCATAGTTTTGTGTGTCCACGTGCAAATTTGTATTTTTTTTAATGCCAATTTTAAACTACCTTGTTTTCAATTTGGCCTGTCCCTGTATGTAAGGAGCTTTAACATTGCATAGAGTTGTTTAAGAGTGTCTGCACTTAAGATTAGATTGTCTTAACGGTGGTGCACTGGAGATCATTACAGTACAGTCCCTGTGTGCAAACACAGTCTAGCTGCCATTATACTTGTTAGCTTTTTGTTGCCGGTAATTTCACTGCTACAAAACTGTGTGCACTAACCTATGTACTGCCCTGGCTTTATGGGCAGGTTTTTACAGCCCTGTCCTAACCTTTGTGCTACTACAACTGTGCTGCTAGCAGTACCCA